TAAGTGTAGTTTATTTATTCATATATTAGCTAAATTGTTGCATATTATGGACAAAAGATACTTAAAAGTGTTAAATTATGTTTTTCAGTCCAAAGATGAAGCTCGGAAGCAAGAGAAGCGGTTATGAGCTCAAGAGTGGAAAGAAGAAAGAAAACACCCATAAAAGGCTTCTACTCGTCGAGTTGACCCTTGACTCGACGAGTCCGGTCGCGGAATCAGAAAGATAATCATTCAGAATTCAAGATAGTTATCGGATTACGACTAATGTGAGAGGGACTCGACGAGTCACCATATGACTCGACGAGTCGGAACGCATATATAAAGATAACTTCATAAATCGAGAGGAGGGATTCTGGGAAATTTCAGAAGTGCTTAGCTGCGAATAAGAAGCCAGAAGAACCCTAGAAGTCGACCAAGGAAGCTAGAATTCAATCCCGGGAGTAATTAAGGCGTAATTTCACCATTCTACTTAATTCTTTTGTTTTGTCAACATGATTAAGCAACTTGAACTTATTTGTTTGCTGTTATTTACCTTAGTTATGAACTAAATTCTTTAGACTTCTGTTTGGGAATACAAAGTTGACAATATGGTTTGATTAATTGGTAGGATTAATTCCAAGTTGGTGATTAATTGTTATTTTAGCTTGCTAAAGAACCTTGTGTATGAATGATAATTAATTTTCTGTTAATAGGAAGATAATTGATTAGCATGAACATCTATTGATTATCAACCTCATATGATATGTGACCACTATACCATATGTCTAGAATTAATGAACATGAAACTAGGATTAATAAGGAAATTGAGTAAATTCATGTGCAAGCTTGTAAGATGACCATCAAACAAGAGGTTAATTAAGAATATGAATTAATTAGCTATTGCAAGTCTAACTTAACCCGAATAATTAATCTAGTAAATATAATTAAATTAAGCAATTGGCCACTGTTTGAATTAGTTTATTTGCTAAGGATTAGGGTAGTGAACACAAACCTAATCACTTGAATCGGTAACCAACGAAAGAATTAATCCATTGCACTATTACCTTAAAATCAACCATAAAGTTAACCGAGTTGAACTAAACAGAAGTTTCTTTCCCATTATTGAATCTAGTTAATTTGTTCTTTTCTAGTCTTGCATTAGTTTTAGTTAGTAAGTTTCTAGTCTTGTAAAACTAGAGAAAAAACCCTTATTTGCTTAATCAACTTAGATAGAATTAGTTTTTAATTTAATTTGCTGTTCTCTGTGTTCGATACCCTACTTATTTAGCTATACCACAATTGATAGGTTCACTGCCTTTTGTGTGTTATTTGATAATTAAAGTAGGATTAAAACTAAGTGAGTTTTACACACATCAGCCGCCAACCCGTTGAGTGTTCCTCAACAACTCGACAAGTTTGTTCAAAAAAATGCTTGGCCCAAGAGCTTCCAACACGTCGAGTTGAGGCTATCAACTTGACGAGTTCAAAAGGGAAAACTTTCTTTTAAGCTATAAATCTCATACCTGGGAGTCGGGATGTTACAAGGAACCAACCATGCAAATTACCCTAAACCATAGAGATCATTCGTGTAATTTACCCTATTATTATTATTATTATTATTATTATTATTATTATTATTATTATTATTATTATTATTATTATTAAAATCTTTCATTTTATACAATATATAATGAAGTTTAGGACTAAAAACATAAAGTTCCTCCACCTTAGTGGTAGGTTGGTCTTTTTGTGAGTGGAAGGGGGCTAGTTCTAATCCGTTAACCCTCTATTCCCCTTCCCGCATTCATATTTTTCAAAAGGAAATAAAAGATGATGATGTAGCAGTCCACATCAGCCCAATGTTAGGCTAGTTCGAATCTGGTGACCCTTCATTTCCTCTCATACATTTGTATTTTTCAAAGGGAAAGGAAAGATGTTGATAAGGCAGTCCACATCAGCCCAATATATGCATATTGAACCTAATCAATGTCGACTTGACGTGCCACGTGTGTAGGCAAATTAGTAACTGGGTAACCTAATAAAAGTGCAAAAATGTAAAAGCTTACGCAAACTTCCAGCTTTATTGAGCCCAAAATACACAAAAGGGTAAAACCACAATGTCTTGAAAACTTAATGGATTTTATGGCATTATCCTTAGTTATGTTGTATTTTTGTGTTCCAATTTCACTTAGGATTTATTCACGTTTGAATTTACGTTCTTTTTACTCATCTACTTTTACCCGGCCTGTTCAAATTCTTCCTTCTTCCTTGTAGACAAAGATAGTCTCATGCATAAAGAGATTTGTTAGATGAATTTTATTCATCATTTTAAGACATATATTCCATACATTTACATGCATTTAAGGCTTTTAAATCTCATACATTTTACATATTATGGTAATTATAAGTAAATTGGTAGATCATTTTAATTTGCATAATTTTTTGATGGTTTTCTGGTAGTCTAAAGCTTGGAACACGCTTAGGGTGTTGCTTGGAGTTCTAGTCTAGAAATTGTGTAGATTGGAGATTAAATGCAAAAGTTAGGATTTTCGAATAATCATGACATTCAAGAGAGTTACACAGTCAACTCAGGTTATCACTACCGTTTTAGTCGATTGATTATATCAAGAAAATTGCTCTGTGTCACGGGAAGTTTGAGTTGGCTGAGTCAATTTTACCTTGGTTTTCAGCAGAGTCATGTCAAAACTCAACATTTTAGTCTCCAAGTTAAATAACTCGATCAAGTCACAGGTATTCATAGATTTTACTTGTTTGGTTTCGGATATAGTTTGTTAATATGTTTTTTGAAGCCTATAAATACATGCATTAATTATTATCTTAAATATACCTAAATTTGAAGGTTAGAGAATGACTTTTGGAGCAAGGAAGCATCGAAGAACACAATGGTGTTTCTATTTGGCGTCTTTCAAAGCTAGTGTCTGGGAGTTTTTAAATATGCATTTATATTGAAAAATTAAAATGGATGGCGTCTTTGACGACTGCTATTTGAGAGTTTTTAATTTTTAGTTTCTAACAAAAAGCACTATGTAAACAAAAAAAAAATAATAAATAAATAAAACTTTTGTTTCAGAGTACGAATATTTAACTTTTAATTTAAACAAAAAACTTCAAATTTAGAAGCTACTTCATTTAACATTAAAACCAAGTTATTAAGTTTTTTTAATCAATTTTCAGAACTACTCTTAAACAAACAAACACACACACACACACACACACACACACATATATATATATATATATATATATATACTACCTTATAAAAGAAATCTTACTATTTCTATAAATAGAATCAATATAATAATAATATTTTTTAAGACGATTAAGTCTTTAAGTTTAAAGTACAACCAACTATTAATATAATAATATTATAATATATATCTTACAAATGATAATGCTAGGGATACAAGTATTAAAAACACATTTAAATTAATATTTTCTTATTTTTAGGGACTGAATTAGTATTTTCATCAATTTTGACCCAACTTGTACTCCTAAAATATCTCTTCTCTGGTATCTGGTGCATTCGAAATCGGAAACACTTCTTTTCAGCAAATCGTTTGAAATTTAAAAGCTCATTCAAATTGGAGTTCCCTAATTTTTTTGTATAAAATATAGTTGACTGGAGACTAATTCAAATCTTCATCTCCTTTTCCTCCATGGAATCTTGGTTTTGGCATTGCACTTTTTATTTTTGTAAAACCGATCGATAATGATGCAAGTGTTCTTAGAAATATAATATGTCTAATGAAACTAATTGCTTAAAAGAAACTATTCGTCGCCGCCGTTTTGCGCGGGCAAACGGCTAGTGTGTGTGTATATATATATATATATATATATATATATATATATATATATATATATATATATATATATATATATATATATATATATATATATATATATAACTACTGCTACTATTCTACTACCATGTCCAACTTCGATCTTGGACGTAGATATTCTCCAAATTTTGGCACTATTTCTCTTTCTAAAAGATAATTAATATCTTATTTAAAAGGTGGAAATTTTATATAAATTTCATAAATTATAAAATATATTTTTGATATCAATTACTGCTAATAAATATGAGGATGTGAAACACGATGCATGAATGAGACATGACACTATATATGTTTGTGTCGACATTCAAATGAAATGGAAGCTTTTGACATAATGTCTATTTTTGGCATTAATGTTCGGCCTGTTGAACCGACTATTTAAATTGTTTGACTTGACTTTTTCACGAACATTAAATGTTTTATTCACAAAAAAAACTTAAATATTAATTACTCTAAATTTATATTGTAGAATGCTAATACTTTTTTTAAAAAATTTAATTCAAAATCAATCGTTATATATCTAAAAATGAGTTTGTAATCGAAAAACAAAATAACTGAATAAAATTCGTATCAAATAGAATCAAGGCCGGCATTTCCCGTTGATTTTTTCAAATATATAGAGTTGAAATTACCTTTTTTTTGTTTTAAATAAATAGAAATAATATTTTAAAATATTTTAAAAAGAGAGAAATAGTTGTTACTGTATGTTGACGTGGTCTAGAAGTAAAGTAGCATACGTGTGTGGTTGTGTAGACTTTATTTATATAATATTTTTAATAAAACTGAAAAGTGGAATTCTGTCCAATTAAATTCCATATCAACCATCGGTGTCTTAAATCGGTGTTATTTTAACATTTAGCTGCATTAATTTACAAGAGTACCTATTTACTCCCAAAGTATAACATATTACAAATAAATCAAACTTTAAATATTTATCACAAATTAGCAATTTATTTCGCCCACGTATAATCCTTTTTAAAGAAAGTCTTATCAATAACCTTACTTGCAAATAAAGCATTATAGACTTCGGAATTTAGGAATAAGTGTCGGATAACTTTATAAAATGACATTATTTTCATAAAAAGTTCCTTTTAGAAAATTACAAATTTGAAAAAGAATATATTTAAAAAGTGGTCAAATAGTATAAGTTCTAAATGTATAAAAGGTACCAAAAATTATATAAATAAACAAAACATCATTTGTATCTAATGCTTTTATATAAAAAGGAAAATTGTTTCCAAGTTCAATGCACCCCCTTTCCTACACTATCCCAAGAGTTGCCTATTTACAACTGTGGTCCAAGAGTAATAAAAAATTACAAATTTAGCCTCTGAACTTCTAAATTGTATCTACTATTACATTAATTTTGCTCGGCATCCGATCCCTGCCGTGTTTCATGTGATTGGAGTCCCTTTCGGACTCGAGACGAACCACCAACTCTTCCCTTGAATGCGATAACTCTTCCCCAAGCTTCTGAAAGCTCGGGATCAGTATTTGTTCAGCCCACTCCTCTAGAACTATTTGTCCAAACCATAGCCCGTTTAATATGTTATCTAGGGTTACTTCATCGACCTCTATAGAAACTTTCTCATTGACAACATTGGAAAATGAGTTTTTAATCGTTTTCTCGATTTCTCGACGAATGAACCCTAATTGTACTGGCTTGAACACTGCTACCCCATCACTCGGTCCCACAAGCTCATGTGGTACTGAAACTGATGTAATCAAAAAATGTTGATTCTCGTCTCCATGTTCAATCGTGAGATCACTTGCATCCGTTCGATCTTCCTCGTGGTCGACTGCGAGGTTAAGATCAAGCGAGATCCCGGACCCTACTTTCTTCGGTTGTTTTACAGACGTGTTTCCATCTGGAAGCCAATCAGCTCGTCTCTTTGATCGTTTCTCGCAAACAGTCAACTTCAATCGCCAGTCGCCGGTTGCAGCTGTCTGCAACCGCTTCTCATCAAGGAGATGGTCGTCGGCATTGTTTGACGACCAGTTCCCAGTTAGCACAAAAATAACATTCCCGAGGCTAATCTCACGCCCATGAGAGTCCGTGAGCCGGCCTCTCTCCATCGCCCGTTTTATACTCCCGCAAACAAGCATATCTGCTTCATCTATATCCGAAAGCACAATTACCGAAAACGGGTTCCTACGAACGGCCTCAACAACCCGATCCAACACAGTTTTTCCACGGAATCCAAGATCCATGTCATCATCATCACGACTTGACCCGAGACACACCGTGATCGGGTTAGATCCGCATACATGCTCAGCAAGAACCGAAGCCATCTTCATCTTACCAACCCGGTCCGGACCCGCAAACAATAACCACACACTACCCTTCGAACCACATTGTGTCACAGTTGTAGCAATAGTAGAAGCCGCCTCCGGCTGCCACCATGCCTTTTGCATCAAACCCTTGAGAAGTTTCTTGAAGGAGTCCACCTCTGTTGAATTGACGAATTTACCCTTTTGGAATTCAGATGAGATGCACCCTAGAAGGTCCTTAACCGTTACATCCTCGTTCGCCTCCTTGGGTCCAAGAATGAGATCGGTACGAACCGGGCTCCGTGGAGCCTCCGGCTGTAGACCCAGTTGACTTTGACCCAAAAGCCTATTCGGTTTGTATGTTGTTTGAGGAACATTTGGTAAAAATCCGGTCGCCATTCTTGGAAAGCTCGGGTTTTGACTATGGTTTGGATGGATTCTAGAGCATATATCACTCCATTTTTTCTTTAATTCTTTATCATCAACCTACAAAAATTTGAAAAAAAACAATATTTTACAAAACCGAAAAACATATAACAATTAGATTTAACAAATAATTATGAAAACAATTATAGTACCGGAGATATTTTCGTTTCCATTTCAATTTCACTTTCGCCATTCTTTGCTTTTGCATTTTTCAACCATGGAGGTAGATTACTCTTAACCTCAACTGGTGATTTCTTCTTTAATTCTGCTAGCTCTTGTTCATAATCATGATAACATTTTGGGCAGCAGGGTGGAATTCGGGCAGATTCCGAATTCTGTAACTTTGTTGTCGGAAAGTTCTTGAAAGAATTTAAAGATTCAAATGAAGTCCCAAATATCCCATTGGTCCCTATCCTATAAATATAATAGTTCGAACGCATAAATTGATGATCTAACAATTGTTTGATTCAGATTCGAGAAGATTAATTTCAAATTATAGAAAAAAAATTGAAAAATTACCTAGCGGAGAGAGGTGATCTTGATGAAATCGGCAGAGCTTGCAAATCCCAATCGTTTTCCATGGATGGATGATAAACTTGACACCTCAAATAAGTCTCACAACTGGCGGCGCCGATCAACCAAAGGTTACTGTTCTCCGCCTTGAATTTGGCTAATAAATTTGCCATCTCCACCACGGATTCACGGCCAATGTCGGAAGCAACCGCCGTGGGTGGTGGCTCAACCAGCCATTTCAAATCACCTACGTCGATAATAATACTTCGATTACCACCACCACCATCATTAAAGCTTCGGATGTTTGTCTCGATTAGATCGCTCAGTTCCTTAATCTTCGCCGGAATCTGTGATTTATCAGGTGGAAAGTCGATGGAAATGACTTCAACATTCTTCAATTCCTGTTCTGTTTGGAATTCACCCTTTTGGATTCTCATTAAGATGTCTTTCTTGATTGATTCTGGCTCGAATTCTCCAACTAAAATCGGATTCTTCTTCTTAGATTTCGACATGATTTCCATAACCCTTTTTGCTTCGTCGATTCTCTGATGACCTGATTGATTATAACTATAACTTCCCTGTTGTTGTTGTAATCTTGGATTCAAATAAAGATTCGTCGGAGATGATGAACATACTGTTGTTTCATCATTTCTCTGTAATCTTGGGTTTAAATACATATTCCGGTTGATGGGAATCGGAACCGGAGTTACAGGCGATGAAGACGGCCGGAATCCGACGCCGAGACTTGAGTGACTCAGATGATTTCCGCCGGAGATGTTATTATTATTCAACGACTGTTCGATTGTTGCTTTAACAGCTGGACTTGAAAAGCTTGCTTCACGCATGACCCGGCTTACACTCGGGTCATCGAGTATAGATATAATAAGCTGTTCGAGCTCCACCTTCACCGCTAAAAGCGGCTGCTGCTGTTGCTCCGGGCATCCACGGCGTTGATGAGCTTGCGCCCGCTTTAATGCCGCCATGAGCGCGTTGGAAACCGGCGGCTCCGTCACCGCCGGAGACGATGTAGCGGAGGGTAATCGCTCTAACGCTACACTGAAACAGAGCTCGAGTGCCCGACACTGAAGAGGGTGAGAGGAATTCGGGTGAGACCGGATGCAAGCTTGCCGGAGGAACCCCGTCGGAGCGGAGAGAAGCGTTGCTGCGACATGAAGCGGCGTTGTCTGGTTGTGATTCCGACGGCCGGCTTCCGCTATTGAATGGTTCAAAACAGTCGCCGCTTCCGGCGTTAGGGTCTGTAGGATCGTATTCAATCCTGCCCTCATAATATCGAATTATCGAATCAAAATCAGAGTGTAATCGAACTGGGTTTTGTCTGAAATCAGAAATTAGAAAAATCCCAGAAGTTGAATTCTTACAAAATGCTGAGAAATTGAAGGGTTTTATGAAATTGAATTGAGAGAGTCGACCAACAACCATATATTAGAATCTTGAAATGAAGAAACACAAATTAAATCAAAAAAGGTGTATGAAAGGAAAAGAAAAAACAAGATTCATTAATTATTCCTTTTGGTTTCTCACTATAGGCATGAAAGATGGGTGATAGAAATAGGGTAAAATTTGAAAATAAAAACAAAAGAGGCTTTTAAAAGGGGTTTTTCAGCTGGATTTAGCCATAGTTAAAAGTTCATATTTTTTATGAAATAAAATAAAAAGATTGTTGAAAGGTGAGAATAGAGAGAGAAGATGATAGCAATGTTCCCCTTGTTTGTAATGGAGAGAGAGAAAGAGAAGGACGGAAGAGAATTTATTGAGATGTGGAAGAGAGGAGTTTCAGTTTGCAAGCATTTCTGGTCTTTTTCTGCATTTAATGTTTATATATTTCCTTCTTTTTCATTTTTATATTCTTTGTGAAAATTAGTTGTGTTTTTAATATAATTATTTTATTAATTGGAGTGACTCAGGTTTCGGCTTATGAAAAAAATAAGAAATAATATTTGTGCTTTTACATTTTTACTAATTTTAATATGAAATACTAGGCAGTAGGAATGAAATATTTTTTTTATGGGATTAAGGATGTGTTAAGAAGATATTTTGTTTTTGAGTTTGTTGTAGTTTATTGTTTGATGAGATTACTATAATAATATTAAAAGTAGGTTTTTTTAAAAGATGAAAAAATATTTAAGATAATTTATTTATAAGTTTCGTTGGGCTTTTTGAAGCACCTCCATGGCTAGAATCAAAAGTTTCATCTTTAAAAGTCCTTGATACGAAATAAAGTTTCAAAACTTTGTTTGAAATAAAACATATGTTAGGTTTTATCTACCATCAAATCAAAGGGTTAATTACCTAGAAATGTAACAAACTTTGCTATTTGTCAACATTCAGGATTTTAGGTAATCATGATTTTTGCATTTACATTTGACTATTGAACTTGTTTGACATGTTCAAAATAGGGTAATATGACCGATAATTAGCGGCAATATTACCCTATTATGAACATGTCAAACAAGTTTATTGATCAAATGTGTACGAAAAAAAAACATGGTTACCTAAATATGAACAAAAATCAAAGTTCCTTACCTATTTTGGTAATATTTGGTTCTTTATGTTGTTAAGTGCATGTAGTCATAAGATCCATCGATGTAAAATGAAATTGGGTTGTCCGATCTTGTGTATGAGGAGATGGTTATGTCTTGGGTCAACCCATTTTAAGCACAACTAGTTAGGGGTTAGGTTGTATACGCTTAAGAGGCTAGATTGTATGTGTTTTAAAGATCGAGTAACACAACTTAGCCCATGACTAGCTGAGACTAAACCGGGTTAGACCAAGCCTAACCTAATTGTTCATTGACTGTCGGAGCCTGATCCCAGGGCACACAGTCCCTAAGACGATTCTTATCTAGTATTACCAAAACGAGTAAGAAACTTTGGCTTTTGTCCATATTTAAGTAACCATGTTTTTTCATACACATTTAACCAATAAACTTGTTTGACCTGTTCATAATAAGATAATATTAACGTAATTATCGGTCATATTACCCTATTTTGAACACGTCAAATGAGAACGAATAAAACATGGTTACCTAAATATGAACAAAAACAAAAGTTTGTTACCTTTCTATGTCATTAACCACAAATCAAATTGTTATAAGTTGGGACTAACTCATCCTATCTAATAAATGAATATAATTTTGTTAAATGTTATTTTTTAATGTATTATATCACATATCATTTTGTCATAATTCTAACATATTTATTTTTCACTTGTCATTTACTTCATTTTTTATTTTTTAATATGCATCATTAATTTAGTTTCTATAAATTAAACATACCATAATAACTATACTAATTTCAATTTTTAAATTATAAATTTCAAACTTCAATTTCAATTTTAAATAAATTCATAGTTGAAACCTTCATAGTTAATATTTTATTATGATTAGCACATTTAATACACGCATCTAGCAACTAAACATATAATTTTAATTTAATTTTTTCATTTTTTTTTCATAATTTTTACTTATTTCAAACTTCAATTTTAAATAAACTTGTCGTTTAATCATTTGTATTTAAGATTTTGTTTTAGTCAACTTGTATAGTATATAGATATCACAACCAGTTTGGTTAATATAGACTTTCTAAACTAACAACAAACTAGAAGTTTTGGATTCTCTTCCAAATAAAAAGAAAAATAATTATTACCGTTCGCGAAAGAAAAAAAAATCAAAGCAAATAGTTAAAGCTTATGGGCTACTACATTCATAATCTTTTTAAATCCAAGCTCTTTTAATTCAATCATAGGAATAAATATCAATATACACTGTAGAATTAAAAACTTTTCTTGAAAATTATAAGCTAGTAAGAACTCTAAAAAACTCCTTAGGTTGTCCTGTTTCACAGAACAAAAAAAATAGTTTATAAACTAATTTTTTAAAGTGACCGTTTAGATTGACGTTTCAATTAGGGATGAGCGTGGGGTGGAACTGGTATCGATCCGTACCATTCCCGATTTTAAAAAATTGAATTTAATCAAAAGTCAATCCCGAGTATCGAATCGAATTAACATCACTGGTATCGATACTGGGAGTGGTATCGGTTTTCTGTACTAGTACAAAGTACTGTCTCATATTTTTAAATTCGATACGGTTCAGTACCGGTTTCAGTACCGTACCGTTACTGCATCGAGATTTTATACAAACTGCTCATCCCTAGTTTCAATAAGTTTATTAAGCTTCTGTATCATTCTATAAAATATACCATTTTATTAATTATAAAAACTCAAGCGTTACATATTTCAACTACCTCATAAGTTAGATTAACCGAACTCCATTTTGCATAAGCACATTCTACGTGTTCGACCAACCACTCAGAGCAAAGGTCAAGAAGACAACACAGAGTGGAAATGGTCCAAGTGATCCCAGGTACCCATGAATTGCTACACTTATTATAGTGGAAATGCCATAAAGCACGAACCAAGATCCGTGAGACGAAAACCAAAACCAAGACAAGAGTTTATTAACTTTCAACAATATTCTAGATTTTTAGTTTGCTTTTCAACAAAATTTTACCTGCCTATTAAATTTAAATAAACATTATTTTAGTAAGCTAGTTTATAGCTTATAAATGCAAAATCCCATAACATATTAATGTTATTTATGACGTTCTCTTCTAATATAGATATTCATTATAATTAAAATTTAATTACATTATAGTAATCTTAGCATTTATAATATCAATAAAATGAAATTTTATTGAAAAAATAAATAGTATTTATCTTTGAAAATATATGTCCCAAATTTATATTTTTTTTTCTAGAATACATGATGAAAACGTTTTTTACAAGTTGTACAATAGAAAACTGTTTATGAGTTTCATATTCATCTGTATTAGAAATTTTAATTTAATATATATAGTTTCAACAAATGAATCATCAATAATTAAAAGAATTGCTTAAATTAGAAAAAGATAATAGAGTTGTATTGATGACGGATAAAGTAACTTTTAAACCTTTTTAGGGGACGAAGAGATTCATGAGCGGATTAATTGATATTTTAATTTAATTTTCTATAAAATATGACTAGAGATTAACTACCTTTTTGTAACTTGCAAGTTGCAACTGGGATAGTTTGAAATTTTAACCCACGCGCATTTCTTTATCCATCAATGTCAACGCGCTTTCGAATTAATGTCAAAGTTTTCTTCAATACTATCTATCAATGAATATAAACGTTTTTGAATGATTGCAATTTATTGAGAAATTTTGGTTTATTTTCAAAAATGATATTGCATACGGTCAGAGTTTTAAGCATTTGTAATCTTTTTTAAGAATAGTATAACGTATAGATTTATTATTATATTTATTGTAATTATTATACTTAAAAAACCATCTTAATAAAAAACTCTTTTATACGGCATCTTTTCCATCTAAAAAAATTTCAAAGTAAAGTATCTAATTTACCCTTCAACTTTTAAAGCCCCTAATCGTTATCTACTCATCCGTTTGTTCTCTAAATCACGTTTCTATTGCTCTTATTTGACATTCTTGATTTTTGAAACTAGATATCAATTCAAATTTAAAATAAACCTTGGATTCCCATATGCGTTTCTTCAAAAATCACCGCTCATCTTTTGCTGGGTGATTTAACCGTCGGTTTTGGTTTTGGGTGTTTGGAAGATTAATTTCATTTTTATATTTGTGATTCTTGCATAATTGTCTACTATTTTTGGTCTTGAGGAAGAAAGTGGAAGACTCAGTTCGTTTTCTCCAGTTAGATCATCAACAACATGTTAGCTAATTCCTTGATACGATCTGTTTATATACTTCTTTTATAAAAGGATCATTGTAATCAGTTTTTGATTCTAATATATCAGCAATCACAATTTTGATAACCAGGACCAAATTTGGAAACTTTGAAGGTTCATAAACAAAAACCTAGAGTCCTATGTTAATAAGTTTGGTTCAAATTTGGAGGAAGAAGAAAAAAAAATGCAAGATTTTGTTACTATTTTTGATGTTTATACTAACTCACGACTATCACACTGCCACCATGAGACCCACCAATAACAATTACATCCTAATGAAAATGAAGCAATAACCATCTTTTGTGTGATGCAAAGATAATTTAGTTGAAAGTAAGTTGTTTTTCAATTTGGTCATTTTGTTATCTTATTTCCTTATTCCAACCATTTAGTATGTTTCTTTACACAATTATTTATTTATTTATTTATTTATTTTCCAATTTTGACTCATCCTTATTGATGCACAGAAGATGTTCGATATAAACATATCGATTTTTGAACCTTTGTATGCCTTTTCACATAC